TATTTTTTGCCATTTCCTTCAAAGCAGTCTGAACTTCTTTCATCATCATAGGCTCTTGCTCATATGTTGTTTCATGAAATTCTTGAGCTGCCTGAAATAACAACATGAAAAGGCATCTATGTAAAAGTGGACCCCCAAAATGTTGTTAAAGGGTCAGCTGAATACTGAAAGGCTCTGAAATAAAAGCCACAGAGGTTTATATACCTGCCTTGTCAGTGTCCACTCCTAAGGTATTTTCTGGGTTTTGGACACCTTTTTAAATAACTTTTTGCGAAATTCTATTCCCTTTAATAAACAGATTTTAACACATAATTTTTTCAAATATATGTTATATGTAACTCAGCTTGTAATTTGGTGTTCACCTATTCCTCATTTTATTTTAATTTTTATTAATTTTAATGAAAATTTACAGAGACTTAGAGTTTACAGTCATTCATTGTTGCACTTTTCTCCCTTCCCACCTGCTCCGCCCAATTCACTTTTCTCCTTGATGAGTAAAAGAAAAACTCTTTTCATTGCTATGCAGTCCCTCTATTCCTCATTTCTAATGCTAAATATACTTGAGATTATCAGTTCTCAGAGAGCAAAAACAAACCCTATTCTGAGTTGACCTCTCCTCTCTCGCACCTCATTTCAGAAAAATATAGTATGTAAAAAATAAACCAAAAGCTATTACCAGAGATCCTAATTCATAGAAACGCTATTAGAGTGGCTCAATTGGATTTCTTTCAAAGGCTTTAATCTTTATGGAAGCAGATTACCACATCTTCCTTCCACAGAGCAACTGTTTCAAACTCTCACCTTTTTAGTTGGTGTCCAAGAGCTTCAGCCACAGCATTACAAGAGCTCCTCTAGTAAAGAATGTTGTGTACAGTTCAGTCAAAACCAACCTGTAGCTGACCCTCCAGCAGGTTTTCAGAGGTACTTAATCACACAAGAGGAGATTGAACATCCTTCTCTCCCAGAGCAGCTGGTAAATTTGAACCATATACCTTCAGTATGGCAATGTAGCTTCTTGCCACTAGGCCAGCAGAGCTCCCTTAATAAAGAATATAGCCTTGAAAGTCCTATGAAGCCTGTAAATAGAGTCCCTCTGAGTTAGAATGAGCACAGTGGTAGTTTGGATTTGGTTTTTTGGTTTAATCTTGACAGAAGCAGCCTACCACATTTTGATCCCACAGAGAAATTGGTAGGTTTCGTTAGCAGTCTTATGCTTAATTGTACCACCAGAGTTCCTTCGTTTAATACAAGTACTGCTTATTCTGCAAGTAATTAGTAAATGTTGATTGATGTTTGAGACTCCTTTAACTTATTTGTTGTTATTCTCATTTCTGATGTGTATTTCTTTCTCTTAACAGACAGTGTGGAGCATTCATTATTAAGACAATTGGGCAGCTCTAGTCCAGCTCAACTGTGTTCTTGTCCCGTGATCCTTGTGAGGCCAAGATCCAGCTTTAACGACCGGCTAGAAGCTGTCTTTTGTGAAATTTAGGGTTAGTTAATACCTCACCATACTTAAATATTCCAAATATAAGCTGTCTAAATTTGGTGAAATTGCTTTCATTAGTTCTACAGAATTACTTAGGCAGATACGGCATGATGGTTTTTTAATATGTGTTAATCTTAACTAAAGTGACATTTTTTTCTATAAAAGATGTTTTATCCATTCCATAAATAATAACTACAATAAGAATATTAAGGTGTGTTTCATTTTCTCTGCTTTGTGTTATTTAATTTCTTTACAGATATCTAGATACTGTGTTTAATATTTTATATTTTCATATTTAGGGTAAGAATAATTTGTAATATAATTTTTAATATGTTCATTCATTTTAGCATATAGCTTACTACTTACTGATAATTTAGTTCTACCACTTGGCTTTGAAATTCCATTTTCTTTAACATGGTTTTGTCTAATTTTGAACTAGATAGATACTACTATTCCTTATTTATTTTATTCCTGCCATGAGTTTAAGAATTCAAATACTATTTATACTTTTTATATACTTTTCCAGTGTTAGGAATATCATCATTATCAAAATTATTGGCTTTTCCCTGTGTCTAATTTGACTATATGTATTTTCTTTGATGTTTGAAAGAATACTGGAATTTTCCTCTAAAATCATCTATTTTAGAACCAAATTTTTTAAGTTCCACTTAATAGAATAATTTAGATAAAAGAAGGACTCATTTCAGAAATTATCCCAAAACATAAACTGATACTGTAATGTACTGATACTTTTTCAATACCTTAATCTTTTGATATTTTCATCTTATGTTACCTGTATATTCAGGTGTTTATTAATTTTTAAGAAGAAATTTTCAAAGCTATTGCTTATATTTAACCTTTTTACTCTAAAGCCAGATTTTATTATAAAATTGGAAAATGGGAGAAAATTTGTCATTCAAAACCTATAGAACAAATCATAGGGTTTTTAATCACTGAAATTTTAGTGGTTAATTTGAAATTTTAGTGGTTAATATGAAAAATCATTTACAGTGCATTTGCAGCTTTGCTTTTTCAGAGACTTTGTTTTAGGAGACAGGGGATAGATAAGCCATAAAATTTGACCATACTGTAAAAATCTGTCCTTTTCTTTCCAATTTGATGGTCAAATGTAATCCACATTCCGCAGCATCACCAGAAGTAATAATAGTTAACCCTGAAATTTTTCTTGAAATAGAGTATTTCTTTTGAAACCATGTTTTCCAAGTCAGATGGTTTCCAGAGAGCAATAGAATCCTATAATGTATACTAGCATACAAAGATCCCATGTACATTAATTATCAGTTTTAAGAAACATACTAATAAGGCTTACAATGAAATTTTTTAAGTTTTTGTTCTGTAAGTAAAAATTATTAACCACTGATGTTTAAAGATCTTCCTTTAATAGCACTATCCTTGGGAGCAAAAAGTTAATGTTTGATTTTAAAAATGTTAAACAAAATGCTAAACAGATCTTGGACTATTAATAAAATTAATGATGTATTATTGAATCAGAAATTTTTATAATAATTGATACCCAAGTGTGTTTGTTTCACACAGCAATATAGATTATATACAAGTTGTTACTGTTGAGTTGCCTGCAATCCATAACGACCCTGTGTACAGCAGCTCTGAACCCTGCCCTGTCGTGACCAAGTCTCCCTGATTTCAACACACTAACCCCCACTGCCCCAGTCACTATATCAATCCATCTCATCCGGAGTCTTTCTCTCCTGTGCTGTCCTTCCACCCTTCCAAGCATGATGTCCTTCTCCAAGGACTGGTCTCTCCTGGTCATGTGCCCAAAATATGTGAGACAGAACTTCAAAATCCTAGCCTTTATATACTATTCCTCAGAATTTAGCTGTATTTTTGGGAAACTAAAATTTATTTACAATATTTACCATGATTACCACAAATATTGTTATTTTTAAAAAACAGACTGTTTAGGAAGAAGAAATTATCCTTTTACATATTAAGTTAAACTCATTTGATGTTTTGGAGTTAGTTTCTTTTCTGTCTTGTACATATTTTGAAAAGTTTTTACTTACTTAGTATCAGTTTTGAAATTTCACTCTGAAGACATCTGAAATTCATTTTATGTAAGTGATTATTAAAAGATGGATAATATTTAATTTAGTACATAGGTATACCAAAATCATAAAGCAGTATCTTTGCAGGCTTGCCTGCCAAAAAGATGTAATTTAATTAGAAATGGAAAAATAGTAGTGCATCAGAAGAAAAGATTAAGATTTAACTTTGTCTCAAAAGGTTTCTTGAAAAGATAATTTGGAAAAACAGGTATGATTTCATTTAACAGCAAATTTATTTTTAAATTTTTGCCAACAATAGTAATACAGTATTTTGAATCAAATTTATAACTTCCATGTAGAGGAATATTTTCTGGATCTGTGATATACTTAACTATAAAATAATCCATTTGGGTCATAAACACATACACAAATTCTTTGTATCTTTCCTAGAAATAGTACTTGAATATTATAAACTAAAAAAGGATTATAGGAGGATATCAACCCACAGTGTGATGTCATGTCCAACATTCCTTATTTTATAAATAATAAATGGCTGAGCAATTTCATTTAACTAAATTTCATTCTGAATCACTGATAGGTTTAAAAGAAGAAAGGGAGGAAATTTTACCCAAAGGATGACTATAATGAAAAGCCATAATTCATGCTGCTTTCAGCTTTATAGACAATGATTTAATTCATTTGCATAGATTCCTTAAACTGGTTGGCTTCAGTCTTCCCATGTTTAATACTCCTCTGATGGGTACCTATGGTGTCTATTATTTTTTGGATCACCTTCCTACATGTTTCTATCTTGTTGTGTTTATTTTCTTGTGCTTTCTGCATTCTGCTGGTTGTCTAGAAGCCAACTGCTGTCCAAGCATTATTTTATTTCACACTGACTTCTTTTTTCACATGACATAATCTTTGCTCAGTATTCTAGATACTACTTTCATGGTTATTTTGATGTTACTCACCATTCTAACCTGTCAGAATCAGCAAATAAAAAATAGCCATAGATTGCAAACCAGTGAACATTCAGAATTTGCAATTTTATCATTCTTTTTTTTATGTTTTAATTTTTAATGTTTGGTTAAACAAAATAACATCTTTTGTAAACAAACCCGGCACAAGGCCAACAACAAAAAGGAGGAATAAAAAGCAAGAAAAACAAAAAGCCTAGGGTTGCCCCTTCTTGGGCATCTAATTTTATCATTCTTTTAAGCATGTGGCAATACCATTTCATACAAGGGTCTCATAATGAAAATTTACAAAATATTCCTGGGCCTCCAGAAGAAAAAGACTGATAATCCAATTA